CGCGATCCGGTTTCAGCCTGGACAGTCCGCGGTAAAATAGTCATAACTTTTTACTCTGATGTTGCGTTGATTTGAGGTTTTTTTGGTTGCAAACTAGACTTGTAGAACTTCGATTCCGTATGTTGTGGGTCACATAACTCTTTATATATTGGGAGAAATGATCTGATATATTTTACCCAAAGTTTAGAAAATTTATTAGAGAAATTTACGATAACTTTTGCCGACCTTTATTTCGCAACTTGCTTGATTCCAAAACCTAACATGTGACCAGTGTGATATTATAATACCTCATAACACATTATTCTTAGCATATTAGACACTTTTGGTCTTATCCCAGATGTGTAAATTAACTTAAACCTTCCGAACGCGCAGGGTGCCACCCGAGCCATTCCTTTAACCACGAACTTTTATTTAAGGGATTCCTTTGACCTACAGCTTTAGTTTAGTTCCTTGATATTACCATACATTTTCATTCTTATTGTCCAAATGTGCTATACCCAATTATATATACCTAATATGACCACGCCATGTTACGTATATTACGTAAGAGAAAAAGAAAAAAACATGGGGTCTCACATATAAACTCCAAACAATATTCCCAATTGCTTGCAACAACACCCAATCCAAATAAATAATGGTTTTTGAAAACCCAAATTCGAATTCAAAGCTTCAAAGCTTTTTAGTGGCTGTCAATGATATAATTGCTACTCTCTTTTCCTTTGCTTTACATTATTGGAATTAGGGATTGAGAGATAGAGAGAGACGTAGAGAGAATTCCCAATTGTTTGCAACAACACCCAATTCAAACAAATAATATTTTTTGAAAATCCAAATTCAAATTCATAGCTTCAAATCTTTTTAATGGCTGTCAATGGTGGAATTGCTGCTCTCTTTTCCTTTGCTCTACATTACTGGAATTAGGGATTGAGAGATAGAGAGACGTAGAGAGAGAGAACGTATGAGAGAGAGAGAGAGAGCGCAAGAGGAGAGAGAATAAGCATGAGAAATAATTGAGTCCTAATATAAAGAGATAGTCATTTAATTTCTAAAGTGTATATAATTGGTAAATTTGTATATAGGAGGTAATTAAATGAAAACTTGAACATGAAGAATAATAAAACTTCCAATAATGTATAGGTATGTAAAAATCCCTTTTAAAATAGGAACAAAATCTAAACAACGGCCTAAAAAATGAACATTTGCATAAATCAGCCAAACTGCACAAGATGGAGTCCGTAAGAAGAATAATCTGGAGCCCAAATCCAAGGACAACCTTGTTTTATATTTGCAAATATTAAAATATCATTTATGCCCAAATGATGCTTAATAAATTAATGTTCTTCCATAGAGGCTAAAGGTACTTAACTTGATGATCTGACCCGCTTGATCTTTAGTAAGTCGCTATGCTGAGTTATTTTTAATTTATTTCTTTTACACAGAGGAAGGGCAAGCAGGGCAGATCGTGAAAATAGTACGGGCTAGCCAGTTTTTTGGACTGATAATTGAAAAATAGATAATGTTTGCAAAATCATTAAGAAATAGCCACTATTTTGCTGCAACATGAAAATTTTTAGTATAATATACTGGATATTAATGCACATGTGTATGAACTTCTAGCATATTATGCTGGAACTCTAGCACATAAAAAGTTCCAGCATAATATACTGGAGACTGGAGCACCTGTGTATGAATTTCCAGCATATTATGCTGGAATTTCACATGTAAAAAATTCGAACTCCAGTATATTATGCTGGAATATTTTTCGGATTTTGAATAGTATTTTCGTTCAAATTTATCTTTACATGAAAAGTGGCTAAATTTCGATTACTTTTGAAACTTTGGCTATTTTTCAATAACCATTTATAAATCTGGCTATTTTTGAATTTCGTACGGAAGGATCTAATACTATAGATCCATAATTTTTAGCCTAGACTTGAATTTATGCGTGTAAAATTTATTGGAATTGCTGAAAATATTAAATTATGCACTCAGGACTCAAACAAGGTAATAAGTTCAGTTATTGAAATTTGAGTTCTAAACCCATAGATTTAATATAAAAATATACATATATGGAAGGTATACTTCTAGAACACAAAAAGAATAAAATAAAAAACAATACATACAACACGTTGACCATGTATAAGCACAAATTCCTGACATAACGTACGTAAGTACGTCTTTAAAACTTTTCTTTTTCAATTGTGCAAAAATAGAAAAAGAGAAAGGCAGAAGTCAAAGGTTGAGGGAATGTGGTTTTTTTTGACAGACCACCTACTTAAGCACATCATTTATTAAATCTAAGACTTGTCGTTATAGATTTCTCAAACTAAATTTCTAGTTAGAATACATAACCAATCAAATCTTTAACGAACTAATTTAATATACACAACAAACTGAAGATGACTTTTTGCCATCTTTGATTTTACCCACTAGACTTCGTCCAATTTGGGGAGTCTTGCAATAACGGTAAAATTGTCTCTATGTGATCTATAGTCATGGGTTTGAGCAACAGAAGTTGACACTAGTGCTTGCATTAGAGTATGTTATCTATATCATATCCTTTTAGGGTGCGACCCTTTCTCGAACCCTGCATGAACGTGGGATGTGTTGTGCATCGGGCTGCCCTTATTTTTTTATTTTTTATTTTTAAAATTAAACAGTATGGTGCACTAGTTTTCTCTATGAATATGCAGAGACGGAGCTAGCCCATCGAGTACGGGTCCGGTCGAACCCAGTCGTTTTGGTCGAATCCATGTATTTGTCTTAAAAAATCCATTGAATATGTACAAATTATTTTTAAAACTCAATAACTTAAAAGGATTAGAACCTCTAGCCCATAAACTTCAAATCCTGGCTCCACCTTTGTGCGCATGGCTCGAGGAAGTAAGGGTCTGACCCCGACTGTACTGGGTGTTATGTACGTACGTAGTCTTATTTTGCATTTCCACAACAATGTTATTTTTGTAACTTAAGCCCGTAACTTCCTAGTCACGTTATAACAACTTTTTATTATTACGCCAAAACTCTTCTTTGAATCCAAATGCATATTCAAGTATCTAATAGGAGTAATAAGCCTAACCTTCAAAGTTTATTTCTTTGATCTAATATTGGTAAAGATCTTGTCGTGCGACACCAACCTATGACTTCTATGACCTAATAGATTTTTACGTTTTAACTAATTCTTGGTCACTGTTTTTTATAGTTTAAGAAGTAATAAGCAGTGCAAACTATGGTTTGCAGCTATTGCTTCGTTGGATTTGAAATACAATCTACCATATAGTCATTTCTTATATATCACAATAGCTTTAGTTAATATATATTAATTAATTTGATGACATAAGTTAATTAAACTGCTAAATAATCTATAGAGTAAATCAGTAAATTACTCTTATGTCGAGGACACACTCTGAATAGATAAAACTTATCAATATTCAGTGCCAAACCATATCAACTTAATTACCATGATTAAGTGATTTGGAGTAAGAATATATATTAATTAACCATGATCAAGTGAGAGAAGCCTGTGTGTAAACACATGTCACACATCTATTGACTTGATGTAAACCTCCAAATCAGCAAAACTCAAGTTCATTTCTTATCTTTCCATTTTATTTATTTTTTTTGGGG